GAAAGGCTATCAAAACCTGGCTATTCCGGCAAGCCTGAGGCTGTTGACCTCTCGACCGAGGTCCAGCCCCGATTAGACTGGGGGCATGATGTGTTTCTTTTAATCTGCTTTCTCTTGTTTGGTTTTTAACCCTTCTCTTAAAATTTTATTTTCTGTAAGCCGCCCGGAGTCCTTCGGGATTGGGCGGCCTATAAATTTAATAAATCCAATCCAATCCAAGTTTGGGAAGAATTTAGTTTCTGATTCCTATATGAGCAGGTAATACAAAAGAATACATATGATCTTCCTCATGCAAATCATAACGTGAATTAAAATAAGGAACAAAAATCCCCATCATTGTGTATAAACATTTACTTACAAATGGCTTTAGTATTATTTTTGTCTGATATTGGCAGCTTTACTTCTAAATCAAGTTCTAAAGATAAGAGGAGAAAAAGGGCATTTTAGGTAAGTTTTCTTATATATTCCTTTATTAGAAAAGAACTAAAAAGAGGTTACCCAAGCACCAACAGAAACACAAAGCTTTGAAAGTTTGGTTATTTTAAAAATTCTATCCAATCCACGGTCTACAGAGGAAATACCACAGCATGTAGTACCATTGCCTTCAAACCTCCAGAAAAAAGGGGATTACAATTTATGCAGCTGATTAAAATTATTTTTATTAAAATAAATTTCATTTATTAAAAATGAAATACCCTCATATAAATATATCTATTTCATAGGGAACAGGGAGAAACATAAACTAAAATTAAATTGAGAATGTATTGTGATCCAAGGAAAGAAAGAGATGAATGAATTTGTCCAACATATTTAAAGGGAAACATAATTTTTAACTTTCTAAATTAAATTCATATTCTGCATTCAAATCCTGATTTTTTTCATATACTAAAATGTAAATTATTGGGGGAAAGTATTGTGAAACTGATATAATCAATAAAACATATTCTTTACATAATATTGAATATACTAAAATAGATTAGTAGGTATTATCTAGCAGGAAATTGTGAACAATGATAAAAAGAAAATTTACATTTTCCTGTAGTTATTGGTTACTATTGCATTTCATTTCATTTTTATTTCCATTAGTTTATAAATATTGACATAAATATTGTTATTGAAAATCTAGATTATTTCTCTCCCACAAGAACATAATTGTATTGTCCTCAATATTCTATTTCTACCATAGTAGCTATCTGTTTTAGGGGCAAAATCTGCAAACTATTTTTTTTCTGCACTTTAAAGTGATGAAGTTAAAAGAGGAAGCGCAGTGACAAAGAGCTTTCCAATGGAGATTCTATGAAAAGTTTGCAAATTGATTTCTTGCAAAATAAAAAACCAAAAAAGCCATAACTTACTTTTATGACACATTTTCCTCCTTTTGAAATTTAATACTGTGATATTTTTAGAAGTATTAACTGTTGTGTTGAGTTGCATTAGTACTGTAACATCAAAGTCTAACTTGCCAGTACAAGACAGTTCCATCCGAAACACTGTAAATAGGAAGATAAAACAAAAGTTAATCTTATTATTTTAAATAACTTCAACACTTTGCTATAATTTAAAAATCTAACATAAGTATAATTTAGAAAGCAAGCATGACTCTTTCATTGTTTTTAATATATTTCCAAATCACATACATTACATACATCATCAGTCTGTTATTTATTTATTCCAGCAAGTGAGCCACCATAGTCTAATTAACATGATAAGCTCAAACGGCTTATCATATTAATTATCACATAGCAGCAAAATCTGGCAGCATCTTTCTTTAACCTATCATACTCTATAACTACAAAAAAGATGGCACTTCATTGGTCAATGTCAAGCAGAAGCACCCAGAAATCCTCTTATTGGAGAATCTCAATTCCATGTGGTCAGCTGCTCAGAATCACATGTGCTTGGTGGTTCTGTTAACTGTATTTGAATATTCTATTGTGTGCCAGATCTAATGAAAATGCACTCACCTGATAAAGTTCGAGGAACTTCTCCTTGTTCAGAAATATTTACCTGTGGCATATCCATAGCCAACAGATTATCTACTTGAAATCCCAGTTTATATTCAATCTGTAATAATAAGCAGAAAGATATCAAACTAAAAAACTAAAAAGATTATGTCTTTCAAGTTAGGGTTACACTGTTAAAAAAACATGTTTGCTAGGTGCCACATTATATCTGAGGGACAGATTTAGATAAAAAATTAAATAATGCTTTATAAATCACTTTTATACCAAGAAGCAGGAATAATCAAAGAGAATGAAACAAAAATTATTTTATATAGAAAAATATACATATTTATTTCTTCATAAATGTGCTCAATGTTTACATATTTAATGCTTTTATTAAACTAGGTGGTAAAATATAAATGTTGGAATAGTAGTGAAATATTTAATATTTAAATTATACTGAAATATTGAAAGCAGAAACCAAGAAATACAACATATTGCACTTATTATTCTACTCATAATGGAATGGATTTTATTTGAATTACCATCTACATAGTTCACAAAATTGAATTAAATACATTTTATACATACTAGATTTGTACCAGCATAGATTTCCATCTGGAATAATTTAAAGCTTGTAAAATCACAAAAGAACTCTTATTATTCCTATGTGGGATTGTAGAATAGAATAACAAAATTGGAAGGGACATTGAAGGTCTTCTAGTACAATAACCTGCTCAGGAATACCATTTCAGACAAATGGTTGTCCAATCTCTCCTTAAAAACCTCTGGAGTTGTTCCACTGATTAATTGTTCTAACAGTCAGGAAATTTCTTCTTAATTCTAGGTTTCTTCTCTCCTTGATTAGTTTCTATCCATTGCTTCTTGTCCTGCCCTCAGGTACTTTAGTGAATAGCTCGACTCTCTATGGCAACCCCTGAGATATTGGAACACTGCTATCATGTCCTTTTTCATTAAACCAGAACTTATCCAATTCCAGCAACTGTTCTTTATATGTTATAACCTCCAGACCCCTAGTCATCTTTGTTGCTCTTCTCTGTACTCTTTCTAGAGTCTCAACATCTTTTTTACATGGTGGAGACCAAAACTGGATACAGTATTCCAAATGTATCGTGTTTTATAATTAGACATAATTCATGCTGAAACCGTCTGTTCAGACACAATAACCTAAGATGAATAAAAATGTTCTCTGTCACTGAACAAATCAAGATAGCAGGTTCTATAAATTTACAGTGTTTTTTTTTTAACAAACCTCAGTTACAACTAAACAATCAATTCTTTTGCAGCCTGAAAATAGCTTTTGCTTACCTTAGACTTCGCATGCCAAGTGAAATGAAGGCTGTTTGTCTCTACTGGTACTTGTAGATTAAATGACAAAGCGAAGTGATTGATAAGGTCATTCCTCACATAATAAAGTTCTGCATCAATACCTAAATATTTTTAAATGATAAAAAAGGATGAAAACAAAGTTATAAAATCAGTTCAAGGAAAAGCTTAATGCTGTACTTTTTTAGGAGAAACAAGCTAATGTTTAATGCCAATAAAACACTTCAAAGCATACATATGTTGGCACTTCTGAGAAACATTGTTATCATTGTAGAAGGTAATAATTATATTGTCACCCTTCTTCAGTCTTTTTAAATGATAAAGTAGATCTGTTCTCCATCTTAAATACTATCAAACTTTTTTTGCAGATGTTGCCTGATACATATGGTATATTTCCTTGGTGGCAAATATTAATATACTGTACTATAAATTACATTTTTTGTTCTATCCCAACCATACACTGTCTCTCCTCCCCCCACCCGCAATAATTTAAGATGTCTGGCAGGAGAGATTAAACGTAAGGCAAGACTGAAAAGAGATATTAGAAAGTTTCTTTTGAACTGAGCTTAAGTGTAGCCTAGAGCTGACAGAATAGCATGGGATTCATGGAAGCTCAACCAACTGATTTTAAGACATTTATTATCTCTCTCAACTTAGCATATCCCACAATGTTCCTACTGCGAAGAAACACTGGAAGAATTATGTATCCACTGTCTTGAATTCCTGACAGAAACGTAAGATATAAAATAATAGGCACTCCAATAATGTTTTCTTGGCCGACATTATAGAAATCACATATTAAAATAGTTTTAAACTGTGGTTTCCTCCTCCTCAAGAAATGTATTGACATAAAAAAGTTTACTGTATCATTGTTTGTTTGGAGAAATAAAGTGTATATGTTTGAATTATGTTTTGTAAGAATATAGAATTGAAATTATTGAATATTCTGAGAATAACATGTGAAGTAAAACATGCATGGCATATTCTATTTATTCAATAGAATTGTTCGATATTGAATAGTGAATAAAACAGAGAATAAAAGTGTTTAACGATTTATGAATAAATAACGGGGGATTGATATCTGAACAGTTCTGTTACAATGTAAAGCCACAGATAATGAAATAGCAAACAATAAGACCTTGAGTCTATGAGAATTGGGAGACCAGATTCCAAAATCTACAATAATTGTTTTCACAATGCACAAAAGGACTACAGTTTCTTTTTTTCACAGCATGACACCCCCCCTCTACAATCCAGCCCACAGATGCCATACAAAGATGGTTTTTTTGGCAAACTGAAGTCCTGGGATTACAATTTGCTTTATTTCCCCATAGCGCCCAGGCTGGGTATACTTCATCAGCAATGGGAGCAAGAAAATGGCGACGGTCAATAGTGTATAGGGCAGATGTACTGTCAGAATTCAAAAAATTCAGGGTGGCTGCATTTTTTTTTGCCAGAAAATGGAAGTAAACAGAGAGCCCAAAATGTCATAATGTGAATGTGGGGGGTATTAGTGGCTTTTGGGAGTTTGAATATGTCATAAATAGCCCTTGGAAGGTTCTTCTTAACTTTTATGGTCCCTGAATGACCAATCATAAATTGAGCACTATCTGAGCACTAGATGTGTCAACATTCAAGATACCTTAGAAGATATTTCTTATTTACAAAAGCAGATTTAATTTAAAAATGATGGAAAGTGACTTGATGGCTAATAGCAGAAATGAGGCACATAATTGAAAAAGCACAATGACCAAACAATGTCAAATAAGGAGACATAACAATGTGTGAAAACTATTTTACAATATATTTAACTTCATATGCTATCAAAATAAAGTATAGAAGTTTAAAGTTGTACATGAAAATTGAGATGCTAAAAATTCAAGCTGGTTTTTGAAAAAAACTAAAAGCTAAGAAATATTGTTGAAATGTGATAAAAACCAAAATTATATCTTTATATACATATCAATTCAGTTTTATTGATCATAGAAAGGCTTCAGTTGTGTTGACCCTTAGGAAAACAAGAATCCTTTAACAACTCACTATCCTTATGACGAACCTATAAAAAGAAGCCATATGCAACATGGCAAGACGCTCACTCCAGGTCAGAATAGGAGTGCACAAAGATTATTTATTCATTCAGCCTACAGTGCTATAAATATAGATAGGGAACTTGGATTGGAAGAAAATGAACACATATTTAAATCTGGAGGGAAAATAATCGATAACCTGCACCTTAGTGATGACATTATGATTTGGAAGGTCATATTATTTAAGTCAATAAGGATAGTGAAAAAAAATGGGTCCAAGAGTAAATATAAACCCCAAACTAATGGCAGTTACAGCACCTAGTGACAGAACTGACAAGTTATTATAGTTGCGGGCAGTTTTAGAGTCAATTATTAACACTAAAGAACCAGCAGTCAAGAAATATGTCACTGGTAGAATTGATTGAGTAGAAATTAATACCTTGAAAATAGAATTACCATGCCATGTTTATACTGCAAAGATGAAAATGGTGTGTAGGCAGTAGTTTTTCCTATCACAATCTATGGAAGCAAAATTGGGGACTTTGAGGCAGAATAATAGTGTGTTTACTATGAATGGAGAGGATTCCTGAAAAGACCAAGATGGATAGAGAAGACGGCAAACAAATTTAACACAGAAAAAATTCAGAATTCTAATTTGAGGCACAAATGACCAATCTGAAATTCACCTATTATGAACATTCTATACAAACATATACCATATTTTTCTGTATAGAAACACCCCCTTGTTTCATGTAGTTTCTTGCAATAAGCCCATTACAAGACATCACTGTGCAAAAGGCATCTTGTTAGAGTGAGTAATACAACAAGAACAGGAAATGCATCACAGGAACAATAAAAATGAAACCTAGAATGGCAATGTGATATGGGAAACAAAAATAGAAAAGAATGATAGAGCTGCATATAAAATAGAGGCTCATCTGGCATGTGTACCATTCGCCTCTCTGCCTCTGCTTCCTGTGTATAAGATGCCCCTCCATTATGTATTCATTGGGGAGTTCCGTCCACCTCCACATGGTACAAACTTGATTTTTAAAAAACTTTGCAATATATAAGTTTTTGAATTATACAGAAAATAGATGCTCAGAATATAGATTTTAGAAAGTTAACAATGATTAAAGGTCTAGATTGATTTGGAATGGCCTATGATTTAATTAAAACTAATTTTCTCATGAGACAATGGCATTTGTTTTGACTTTTTTATGATAAGGGGACCTTGAAGGCTGAAGCACTAAAGGGAGTTAGAGAATAAAAAAAAAAATAGAGCAGAATTTTATAACAGAAGCTATTGCACATTTTTTTGCCAATCTCTGTGAAAAAATAAATAATTTACTTCATAAAATGGACAAAGCATGTTACAATGATGTTACAGATCAAGAATAAGCTTCAATGGAAAAATTTGAAATTACTTTGAGGCGGGATATGACCTTGGTAAGCAACAGTGTAGATACTTCTTGATTTCCAATTACAATTGGGAACAAAATCTTCATTGTTGAATGAAGCAGTCATTAAACAAGATCTTCATGTGACTGTTACGCTCAACAACAGCAATTCTTGCATTCCTGATTCTAGGTTTTTAGATGGAATGCCTGCCAAACAATTTCAAATCTGTCTGGAACTAAAATCGTCTCTGCAGGCAGCTCTTTCGGGTTCAAACTTTTGTGCTGCCCGCCAACGGATTTCAGCTATAGAAATTATGCAGAAATCTTCACAATTTCAGCTTGGTTCCTGCAACCTGCCAAAGGTTTTCCATGCATGGAGGGGAAATCCTTCATGGTGATGCAGAAACAGAGCTGAAATCTTTAGTATTTCAGCTTTGTTCCTGCAGCTCCCTGTAGAATTACCCCTCCCTTCTAGGCATGGAGGAGAATTCTTTTGTTCAGCTGCATAAATGGAGCTGAAAAGATAGGCAGAATGGCTGGGTAAGCACAGCCTAATGGCAATGCAGCTTGGGATAGCTCCTGTCAACTGAGAGAGGGTTTGTGGGTGGCTAGGGAGTGTGTGCAAGTGGCCAGAGAGTCTGGCACAAGTACAGTGAGTCTAGGGCAGATGCACAAAGTTGTGTAACCCAAGGTATGAACACAGAGGAGGCAGGCAATAATTTATGGATGAGGAAGCCTTGTTGCAGAAATTTGCAACCTTTCCTACCAGTTTCCCTTTACCTATGGGTAGCCAAAACAGAACATTGGCAATCATGATCATGTGACTACAGAATGCCCAAATTGTGATCATGTGACTGTGGAAGCATTGGACTCATTGTAACCACTACTCTCATCACCATTGTAACTCTGAATAGTAGATATATTAGTGGTTGTTAGCTGACTACCTGTAAACTGAAAGTGAATGAATGAATACTCAGACTGAATATTTAAAAAATGATCAATGCAAACAATGAGTTGGATCATATAAAGAATGAAATAGGAATGAAATGCAAAATAAATATATGAGGGAAGAGCACATTTCTTGAGAGATGGGAAGTTTGAGAAAGTAATGCTTATGCTAAATTAATGAGGCATTCAAAAAGAGAGGAGCTAGATTTAAAGAATAGTGTGCAAAACATGAATCCATATATGGATATGATGAAAGCAAAAAAGATTTGTAAGGGAAGAAAAGTACAGACAGGTATTATGAATGGAGCTGCTGTAAATTAGCCTTAAATGTATTTCATTTTTGTTTCCTTTAATTTGCTCCTCTTTTTCTGTGCTACGCCTAACACAGCTTGTTATAGAAGAGAAAAGCATCATTAGCATATATGTATGCATGCATGTAGTTCCACATGTAGTGTGATAAGCTCTGGTTTCTATCAGATCTGTGAGCTATACTGGCATTTAAATGAATTTCAGCATTACTGTTTATGATGAAATTGGACTCTTTTTGCCAAATATTACATTGTTTCCAACTTCATGTAAGTTTGGTTGAGAAAAGGAATTATAAAAACCAACAGGAAATAAACATCCACTATTTTATTCAAACATTTAATACCAAGTGGACAGACAATTGTGTGTCTTTCAGATGTAAATTCAGAATTTATAGATTTCTATAGGTAGCATAGCCAATTGTCTGTGTTCCAGGAAAAAAGTTCAGCATTAGGTATATTATGGCATTGATTTGGTTTAGTGTGTTGTTTGAACAGACTACATAGTTTTCAGTTTATTCCACGAATCACTGAAGGTATTTTACAAAAATTAACCAATGTTGTATTTATGCCTGAAATGAGAAACTTTGAATTATGTATCAGGCAGATTCAAATGATAATTTATTACTTTATTTATAACGTATCTGATGGCTAAGATAAAGAGTTATAATTGTTTGTCATGCCTAATCAATGTTATTGGGTGAGGAGACCAAAAGAAAAGCTCAAATATGGGACACAACATTTTGCAATAAGAGGGGAGAATTGCAAATAGAGACAGCTTATTTATTTGTTCAGTTTATAAGCTGTTTGGTTATCCAATATACATAACACATTCTCTTCCTCTCTCCGCTACATATGAAGAAATTCAGATAAAAACTTATACTAATTGTAATCTAGATTATTGAATAAGAGCACAAAGATCAAATTTTAGAATTCATCTTTTGGTTAATTTGCCAACAGTATTGCTCAGGAAAAAAAATGCTTCTCTTTTATTACATTATTTATAAAGGCAGACCAACAATACAGCTGCTGAAAAGGTTCTCATTCTCAAATACCTCCTGTATTTTCAAAAGGTGAAAAATCTAATCCATTCAACTACCATCCAATGTATATTCTAAGAACACTTAGTCAACTATATATACTACACCTATGTAACAAATCCCTTACTTAAGGACAATAAACTGGCCATCCACCTTTGATTACTGCATCATTCTCTATCTCACTAAGGTATCATGTTTACCATAAGGATCTTTTCATGCTACTTTCATCATTTATAAGATGAATAAATTCCAAGAAAAAGATTGTGGGAGAAACGAGCAGCAACCTCTATTGATTGCTTACTCTGATACTCCTTTGGAAGAATACTAATATAGAATAAAGCATGATACTTTCCTCATTGAGGCTATCTTCATCATAATGGATATCAAATGGGGTCTATTCTCATTTACCCAATATCCATTTTAATTGGACTCCATAGACTTTGCTAACTAACAAGTTTCAGTCCTCAGCATTAAAACAAACTCAACTCCTTCCCACTACATGTCAATAGTGTTACTATTTTTTTCCTGTTTTATGCACGTTTGGAGGGACCTTAGTTATCTTTTGCCACCAATAAACACTTATAGTGTTTATTCAAAATGAAGATTGTCCTATTTACAAAAAAATGATGCTTTAACTGCAATTTAAATGGAAATTAATTAGATAAATTTGTGCAAACCAAGTGCTTTAACTATTGAGGCAATATCTTCCACAAGGAATCAACAAATGAAACAATTAGGTACATGTGCTGTAGCTATAAAGGTAACATTTTTTTTTGTTTCTGAAGCAGTTAAACTATTCAAGATGGGAATTTAACTTCTGCTCCAAATTATTTCTTCTGAAGGTACTGTAAAAACATTATCCTGTCAATAGGAAACAGAAATCATTTCTTGTCAAAAGCATTAGTTTCTACAAAATGAAATCATAATTTGCAAAGTAACATTAGTCTTGGATTTGGGGTACGATTGCTCTCAACTTCACCGTGACTTTGCTTGGATGGCAAAACCAGGGGAAAATAATCCCAGCCGGCTGTTGACAAAGACAGAATTTGGAAAGTGTTCAGAGAAGCACCTTTTAAGTGACCACCAAAACGCAAACAACCTAAACCTAAAACGGGCACTCTTTCTCCTCTTCCAAAGTCACGTACGTGCTGCATTTGTTTCCACCCCGAAATCCCATCCCAGGCGGCGTGCGCTCACGGCACAAAGATGGCTAAGTTGCACGGGCTCAGCAAGGCCCAACAAGGAACGGAGGAGCCAGGCGATGGGAGAGATAGCCCGGCCGGAGGAAGAGGAAGAATCCCGACGCCGATCGGCCTACCGCCATTTAACCCACACGATCTGAGTCCTTTGACGGCGGGCTCTCTCCCTTGTCTTCCCCCAAAATAGCCACATCCCTACCAAAGAAAGAGACTCTGATTACACGTCAGAATCCCTTTCTTTCTCTCACTCACTCTCTCACGCACAAACACACGGGAGCGCGCACCCGGGCCAAGGCACATCCGCCTTTCACTCACCGATAAGGCGCAGGACCTCTTCTTGACTCATATAAACACTGAGGCCCGGTCCCGTGGCTCCAAGGGATGCCTGAAGCGGGCCCTTCTGGCTTTCGGAGCTCGCGGGAGGGAACAGCAGCAGCAGCAGCAGCGACAACAGGCGGGAACCGTGGCGGCCGACGAGCCGCGTCTCGGCGGCAGCGTCGTAGCTTCCATCCCGCCGGCTGCCCCGCACCATCGCTTGCCCCCGGTTCCCCACGGAGGAGGGGAACCGGGTCCCGGCCCGAGGCCTCACACTCGACGACCGTTCATGCTCCGGCCACGCGCGCTCGCGCCCTCCGGGCCGGGTTCATGAGCTCCTTTTCCCTCACGCGCGCACTCGCGGTCCCTTGACCCGCCCCTCCGGCCGAGGAGCCAGCACATCCGACCAGGAGAGGCAAGGCCTGGCTCTCTCCGCATGCGCATTTCTCTTTCCCGCGGCCTCTTCTTCGCGCCTGCGCGAAAGAACCTTAACATAAACATTGGAAGTTCTCTTCAGGCTTAGCGGGAGGTGTCGCCTTCCTTTTCCTTTTGTCAGATTGCTAAAGCGCAGTAGTGTCCTTCCCAGAATCTGGTACTTGGACCTCACTTGTTATCATTGGCACAATTTATTGAGCGTAGTAAGTTATTTTGTGGGTTGTTTAGTGTTGCTGTAGTGGGCTGTCCTTTGACCACAATGGCTCTAAAATGGGTATCTAAACTCAGCTACTACTTGCTAAATCATAATTTCAAAGCTGTGTGAATCCAGTCATAGCATGATCTATTCGTTTACTCCAGCCTATAGCTAAATGGAACTATTAACAGAAGCTCTGTTTGAAGAAAAGAGCCTCTGATGCCTGCTGAAGGTAAAAAGAAATGAAGAGAGTGTTTTTGTATTGTAACAGTTCATACTGTTACATAAAAAACATATAGGATATATATGTAAGAGCATGGTTGGAGAATTCTGGGAATTGAAACCCCGTACATCTTAAATCAAGGTTGAGAAATACTGCTTTATAATGCCACACCTGGCATATTTGGTGTCATGTCTGTAGCACAGGACTGTCAAACTTGTGGCCCGTGGGCTATGCACATGCCCAGTTTATTGAAGGGGGAAAATTCTTGATATGTCACATGATGTCACTGTGACAACGCACGTTTGACACCCATGCTGTAGCATCTTGTACCCCTCAGATTCCCACTTGCTGTTTTGTTATTCTTTTACACTGTGTTCACTGTGTAATATCAGCGAGATAATATACATGAAAAGAAAATGCCAATCTTCACAATCTTTTATTTCCAAAAATGCTTCTGGGTCAAACAGGAAGAGCCCAAGATGTCATTGAACATCTTTGTCATTTGATTGAAAAAACTTTGGCTTGGAGTAGAGATGCTTAACTTTTTTCTGGCTGATAGTGTATTGATTGTCACACCATAAATAATGGGAGGCTAAGATAAAAACTAAATTGGGTTTTATTCTACCATGAAGATTAAATTACTGAAAAAATGATTACTTGCATGCATTTAATAATTTTACCCTTCTATCACTTTATTATAGTTCAGGACTAACCTTTAGAACACAAACAATCTTATTGCCTCAGTTGGTGGACTTTTGGCGTAGAATGATGTGTAAACTTATTCAACAATAGAAAACCAATAGCAGCAGTCAGTAGTGAATACCCATTCCCAGAATTATAATAGACAGCAGGTTTAAAGGAAAGGGAAAGAAGAGAAAAGAAAAATGACCAAATAGTACTTATCCCCAATCCTGGGCTACAGCTATATGTGATAACAGACCGCAAACTAACATACCTTTTCTTCCATTTCCTACAATTCCCTACCACTTGCTATGGTGAAATTGGCAGAATTATTTATGCAATGGCTCTCTTATTTTCTTCTTATTGAAGTCCCTGGCAGGAAAATTACTTACCCCCAAGTAGAAATTGTACATAGTTTTAATTCTAGCCCTTATTCTCCCAATCTACTATCTAATATCTGGGATATTAAGTTATTGCTATTTAACAATAGTTCTAATAACATAAAACATCAACATCTGCCTATCCCAGATCCTAAAGGGCTCAATAGGTGGATAAAAATACCAAATCCAGTCTGAATATATGGCTGACTGTGCAACAAACAAGGAATTATTATTTTTTTAAAGTCAACAGTAAAGATGTTGAAGAATAGTTCTAATGCTACAAAGTACATGATATTGAGTAAATATGGCAGGTGCAAAAGTCTGGATATCCTTTCAGTCAAAACTTTGTAAAAATCGCCTTTTTCAGAAATAATGAGTTTGAAAGGTTTCCTGTGGCCACTTATGAATCGTCTACTGTTATTTTATAAATATTTTCTTTTATAATTCTTCTAATTTAGAAAGATTCTTAGGTTTCATTCTATTAACTGTAGGTGGATGATTCCCCATACAAATTTTCAATAATATTCAAGTATACAAAGCCTTTCTTTTTGATAAATATTTTACAGTTTATTTGGAGGTGAGCTTAGTTATCTTGCTAAAATATCTAATTTTTTTTCAGTTTAAGTTCCTTCACTGACTGTGAGATTAGCTTCTAGGGTATGTTAATACTGTACTTAATTGAATCCATTTTTCACTGGCATAATAATATGGTGCTTCCTGTGCCACAGGCAGCCATATCCCCCTAAAGCATAAAAGAGGTGCTGCTTGCACCCCAACCACTTAAAGAATGACAAGGTGTTCATTTTTTCAAATGTTTCAACTTTTTTTCCACTAAATGTATATTATATTGTTGTGGCTGAACAGTTCAGTTTAGATTTATCTGTCCCAAGCACTTTGTTGCAAAAGTTTCAAGCTTATCAAGGTTTTCTTTGCATACTTTAGATAATGACTTTCATATGGCTTGCAGAAAAAGTTTCTTTTAGACAACTGTCTCATGCAGCTCATTGTTCTATAAGCTATATTTTAATGTTAATATTTATTTCAGTATCAACTATTACCTTTTCAGTGAAGTGTGGGTTTTGTTTGCAGATCTGGTCAATTTTCAGGCAGTTCTAAAAAAACTGCCTGAACTTTCCCTAAAATAAGAAACAGCTTGCATCATCTGATGATATCAGTCACTATCAAACTTTCACATCTGCCTATAGTAGATCCGTGGAAAGGACTTGATAGGTGGACAAAAAGGCCAAATCCAGTTTGAACATCTGGCAGTGTTGTTCAACATTGTGTGTGCAATGAAGCAACATTTAATAGAGTTGAGACATATGTAATACAATATTGTGCACACGAATTGACATATATTGATTGCTCACACAACATCCTGATCCAAGGTCAAATTGAAGTGCCAGGTCTTCAGGATCTTTCTAAATGCTAACAGATCCATCTGGATTTGGTAGAGATGTTGCTCTTTCAGAATGCAGGTGCACCACATAAGAGGCATGCTTCCTGGCTACTTGGAAACATTCTGCTGGTAATGTACAGTTTAGTTTGCATCCTACACAATCGCAGTTAATCCCCACAGCCAGGTTAAAGCAAGCACATATGTATTCAGTTCAGTTAGTAAAAATATAGCTTCATGTTTATTTATTAAGCATCAATAATCCACTCATAGTGGTTACCTGGCAAAACAGGTAAAAGGGCAGTCAAAAGCAAGAGAAACAAGAGCAATATGCAAGACTCTATCCATCTGTCTGAAACAGAATTTTTCAGGGACACTAGAAATACAATAGTTTGGATAGCATGGACAGTGCTTAAATGAGTGGCTTTGGTCATTCCAGTTGAAATTCATTTCTTCTACAGAACAGCAGTTGAATAGAGATACAAGCAGAACTGTGGGTAATCCATCTATTTTCTGCACCAGTAAAGCTACAATTTGGTAGATGGGGATGATGTGCTCAATAGATAGCATAAAAATGGATTTAATGTTTAAGCTGCTATAGAAATGATTCGTATCTCATGCTCATAGTGATGGAGATTTCTTCAATCTCTTTAATGGAGAGTACTGCCTTTCAGAAGCTGGGCAATTGGTACAGTTTTATAAGATAATGCAGAGTGGTTTATGGCATGCTTCTTTCATTTCTATGTTGAAACATATCGGAAGTTTAGCAATGAGCATAAGGGCAATTTTGGAAAAACACAGCCTTCAATGTTTGGGAACAGTAATAAATGCATTGTTTCTACAATTACATGAAATAAGCACACACATGTGGATTGAGGCTGCAAAAAAGCAGAGCATCTGCACATTATTATACTTTGTGGTTAGGAGCTTACGTACCATTCCTTTGTTTGCTTATAAGATTGAAGGGGCTGTGTGATGTGCGGTATAATGGGACTTAGCATGAAAGTGCTTTTTCTCCGGGATTCTATATTTAGGCCATTGCTCCTATGCCTATTTCTGTGTGAATTCTGTGAAAACTTCAATGTAATCTGAATATTTATCCTACATTTCTGAAATAGTGTTATGGTGATTGGATGACAGTACCATGGGTTGTTCAAGCTGCAAGAACATATCACTTTCCAGTTACATATAATTCTGTTTAGCAGAATAGAGCATAATGTGGCAGAGAAAATGAGGGTATTCCCCTTTTCCTGGCCTTTCCTCAAAATAAACTTCAGATAGATCAGTCTGCTGTTCACTTTTAAATCTCTGAAATGCTCAAAGTATCCATAAACATTTTCCATTTATTTTCCTTATATCATTATTTGATAGGGATGGATAGGATCTTTTATGGATTATTTTTTTCAACCCATATGCTCCCCAATTTCACACGTTAGAATCTATAGATTAGATTTCTTTCTTTCTTTCTTTCTTTCTTTCTTTCTTTCTTTCTTTCTTTCTTTCTTTCTTTCTTCCCTCCTTTCCTTTTATTTTTTCCTCCCTCCCTCTCTTCCTTCATTTCTTCCCTCCCTGTTTATCAACATGATAAAATAATGAAAAAATAGTAAATAAAACAATGATTCAAAATCATAAATTAAAAATGGCCTCTGTTTAGACACCAAAATCCCACTTGTTTAGTTTCACTTGGTTGAAATTATCACATGGCAAAATGTGATAGCATCTTTTTCTTTTTTTCTTGAAAGAAGCTCATATTTAAATTTAGGCATTATTTGGTAGAATGTCATGGCCAAATAAATGTACTTATAATTCTAGATAACTTGCCTGAAGCAATTCAGTACATATCTAATGCATTCCTAAGATTTTTCTTCATGGCTGTATTCATCATGGGAAGACTACAATATGTTATTCAATATAACCTACTTTTTATTATTATAAATCATACTTCTTTATATCTTCCTTAAAAATCAAAAGGTACACTTAATGGCAGGTTAGTTTAATGAGATGGTGATGATTAACTTTTTTTTAATATTAAAATTTTTTAATTTTTAATTTAAAACAAATACAAC